TATATCAATAATCCTCCACCAGATTGGACTAAAATTTATTAGAACCTGGAAACCACAAATAATAAACAAATCAATGTATAGCAAACACTTACTTTAATGACAATTCATATTGAGTCATTTTATTACTACAATTAAAAGCATCGTAAATTAATGAATCGCGCTCGAGTGCTATTTTATCCAGCCAACTTGGTTTCGGTGTATCAAACTCCCATTCAACAAAGGGTTCTTCATCATCTGAAACCTATATATGCATTCACAAAATTTATATAAAAAAGCTTTTTTTCATTTTGCTAAAAATTAAAGCAAATATAAGTACCTCGATCAAATCTGATAGTCCTTCGTCTTTACATTGACGTTTGTACGAATAGTCATCATCTTCTTCCGCATCGAGTGGTCTAGTAATTTTTTCACGTTCCTTTCCCTTTTCCGAGGATGTTCCTCGTAATTGATCAATAAGTATTTGGTTTCTTGTTGATCCTAAAAAATTTTTGGTAAGTCTATTTGTCTATTGTGAACGTTGATTTTGAATTTTCATAAAATTTACCCTTAATACTGTGGCAGTGTAAGTTGATGTTACGTTTATTCGCGCTTCCTCATGATATTCAAGATTCTTAATGAATTGTTTAACCTCGGCAGTGGAAAATGATGAATCAAAATTCGATAAAATCTTTGATGCCTTGTTTTTGGCATTTACGTGAACATTACACTTGTCTTGATATTTTTTTAATATTTTATACAAATCATCTTTGAAATCATCGATTGTGGCCACAGATAATTTGGGGTTCGATTTCGATCGCACAAATTCTAGAATTCCGAAAAGAGACCAATTTTTATTAAGCGTTATTTCAAGATATTCCGTCACCACAGATTCAAACATCTAAAAAAATTTTAAATGCAAATTATTAGTCATTATCCATTTTGGTAAAAGAGTCATGGTAACATTTACAGTCAACTGTACACTGGAAAACAGCATACTGGGACTCGGGCCTTAAACACGTATGCTTAAGGACAGCCCAATAGATTGCCTCCAAACATCTGAACGCAGGACGGGATGGCCTAACGACAGTAGGTATAGTGAACGCATCCTGGAAAACAGCATACTGGGACTCGGGCCTTAAACACGTATGCTTAAGGACAGCCCAATAGACTGCCTCCAAACATCTGAACGCAGGACGGGATGGCCTAACGACAGTAGGGATACGCGTGACTGTAAACTTTACCAGAGATCAAAGAGCTACAAAGATATAGAAAAAGATTAACCTTATTTTTTTACTTTATACTCGAAACCCTGTTCTGCAGTAGTATACGCGTTCAGAACGAAAAATTTCTTAGTCGTACCTCGTTATAGTCACTCTCGATATAAGCACATCATAGTCTATATAAGCACACCTGTTTTGTCTATTATAACTACAGTCGCACCTCGTTATAGTCACGCCATCGGGAACATAGTGAATTTTTTAAAAAACGGTGCTTATAACGAGGTGTGCGGAATTTTTCTATAGTTATAAATAGTTGGTTTTCAAAACAGGTGTGCTTATATAGAGGTTTTTACTATGATGTGCTTATATCGAGAGTGACTATAACGAGGTGCGACTGTTTTTTAAAAAATTCACTTTGTTCCCGATAACGAGGTGCGACTGTACACATGACTTTATATAATTATTCGAGCATTCAAGAATAAAGCATGAAAGACCAATATTGCCGGATCCTAAGTATTGTACAGTGCCTGGCCATAGATGACGGTGATTTTCATAATTTTGAATATCAGTTTTTTAATCATTTTCCCATAAATGTATTTTTTTTATAAATTTAACTATGTACACGTAAAGAATTGTCAGATTTTGATCGTGGTCAAATAATTGGCATGCATAAAGCTTGAGTCAAAAAAATGGATATTCATTGTTCAACAAATTTTTCTTATACAACCATATTACGTACAATTAGCCGTTGGGTAAATACCGGTTCTGCTACACCAAAGAAACGTTCTGGACCTTCAACTATTTTAAAAGATCGTGATCTCCGTATTTTAGAATGTATAGTCAAAAAAAATAGACAGGCTTCTATACAAGCGATTACTCAAGAATTTAATCAAGACTTAGAAATTAAAATTTCAGAACGTACTATTCGACGTTGCTTACATAATTTGGGATTAAAGGCTTGTGCTACAGTATTTAAACCATTATTGTCTAAAAGACATACAAAATCTCGATTAATTTGGGCAAAAGATCAAAAAAAAAAGAATACAAATTGGAAGCATATTATTTGGAGCAATGAATCTAAGTTTAATTTGATTCATAGTGATGGATGTATACTTGTTTGACGTCGACCAAATGAAAAATATTTAATTGATTGTATACAACCTAAAGAACAAGGTGATGGTGGTTCTGTTATAATTTGGGATTGCTTTTGGTATGGTGGACTTGGATTGCTAGTAATTATTGATAAAAGTATTACACAAGATGTATATGTTAATACTCTTACAAAGCATTTTTATAATTGGTATCAACAAATTCAAACAACACATAATGTTCAACTTACTTTACAAGATGATAATGCACCTGCACATCATGGAGCTTATATGGAATGGTGGAAAAAACAAATGGGTATTGATATTATATCTTGGCCTGCAAAAAGTTCAGATTATAATTCCATTGAAAATATTTGGGACGAACTTGATAGACGTATTCGCAAAAGAAAATATCTACTTAAAACTTTAAAAAGTTTAAAACAGGCTCTTAAAGAAGAATAGGAAAATATTTCACAAAAAACATATCAAAATCTTATAGTTAGTATGGAACATAGAATAAATGCCGTTATTAAAGCTAAAGGCTTTTATACAAAATATTGATTTTAAACTTAA